TGTGTACGCCAGGCTTGGACATCCAGCAGGCGTTAGGAGTGACAGGTGCTAAATGGCTTTTGGGACTTGATGAGCTGTTGGGGTGTGAGTAAGGTAACAGTTGTGAAGGGATTCTGGGAAATTAGCTAGCCAGACTTGAGTTCTGAAGGTGGGAAGTACAGTGCTTGCACCCTAAAGGAGGAGTCTGGAATACAGTGGACCCCCGCATAACGATATTAATCCGTTCATGAGAGCTCATTGTTATGCGGATGAATTTTCCCCATAAGAAATAATGGAAATCAAATTAATCCGTGCAAGACACCCAAAAGTATGAAAAAAATTTTTTTACCACATGAAATATACATTTTCCTACACACAAAGAGAAGGATACATGCACAATAGTAGAGTAGTACATGCACAGTATATATTGTGCATGTACTACTCTACTAAATGAAGAATAAATGACACTTACCTTTATTGAAGATGCAGCAATGACTGATGAGACAGTGTGTCCTGGGAGTGCCTTTTCCTCCTGAGTACTGTAGGTCCTGTTTGGTATTTTCTTCCAGAACAGGCCTTATCACACTGTGTATGCCACTACGATTCTTAAATCTCTCAAACCAACCTTTGCTGGCTTTAAATTCACCAATATGAGCACTAGTTCCAGGCGTTTTTCCCTGTTCACCTGGGTGTTAGTCGACTGGTGTGGGTTGCATCCTGGCAGACAAGATTAAGGACCCCAATGGAAATAAGTTAGAGAGTCCTCGATGATGCACTGACTTTCTTGGGTTATCCTGGGTGGCTAACCCTCCGGGGTTAATCGTTTCTCGGTATTTGTTTCACGTTAAGCCACACCAACAACACTCTCTCCACATCTTCGAGTAATACAGCTGATGGTGGTGCAGCTGACCATGGTGCAGCAGCAGCTGTGGTGCAGCAACAGCTGACCATGGTGCAGCAGCAGCTGTGGTGCAGCAACAGCTGACTGGTCCAATTTATCAGCTGATTGTGGTACGATGTATTTAATCCCCCTTTTTTACCACAGGGTGGCACTAGAAGCTTTTTTTGGGGCCCCATGTGGCTTATTTAGCAGTTACAAGCACTATAAATAATGGAATAATACAAAATGTATCGAATGTATGCATGCAACCGGCCACCCTGGCTTGTAAACAATGACAGCAAGGCAGGCGCTCAGGCTGGATGGACAGGTTCGGGACGAGTCATGTTCAGAAACAGCTGATGGTGCAACGCAGCTGACTGTGGTGCAGCAGCAGCTGACTGATCCAGCAACAGCTGACTGACCAGAACAGCTGACTGGCCACAACAGCTGACTGGTCCAGCAACAGCTGACTGATCCAGCAACAGTTTGACTGGCCCCAGCAACAGCTGATTGGTCCAGCAACAGCTGACTGATCCAGCAACAGCTGACTGGTCCAGCAACACTGACTGGTCCAGCAACAGCTAAACTGGTCCAGCAACAGCGACTGATCCAGCAACAGCTGACTGTTTCCAGCAACAGCTGACTGATCCAGCAACAGTTTACTGGTCCAGCAACAGCTGACTGGTCCAGCAACAGCTGACTGGTCCAGCAACAGCTGACTGGTCCACCCAACAGCTGACTGATCCACAACAGCTGACTGATCCAGCAACAGCTGATCGTGGTGCGGGCAGCAGCTAACTGATCCAGCAACAGCTGATGGTCCAGCAACAGCTGATCGTGGTGCAGCAGCAGCTGACTGATTCAGCAACAGCTGACTGGTCCAACAACAGCTGATCGTGGGCAGAAGCAGCTGACTGATCCAACAACAGCTGACTGGTCCAGCAACAGCTGATTGAGGTGCAACAGCAGCTGACTGATCCAGCAACAGCTGACTGGTCAAGCAACAGCTGACCGTGGTGCAGCAGCAGCTGACTGTGGTATGATAGTATTTCTCACCCTTTTTACCACTGGGTTAGCACTAGAGGCTTTCTTGGGGCCCATGGTCACTTATTTTGCAGATGAAATCACCAAAAATGCTGTAATAATACGAAATGTTCCGATTGTATGCTTGGATGTTACCGCGGAGGCTGGCTTGTAAACAATGCCACCGGCGGAACATGTGAAGCTGGCTCAGGCCACACATTAGAAGCGTCTTGGACGAATAGTGTTGAGCGAGTTTTTTAGCGGTATGCAAGGCAAAATTTTAGTGATAAAATGTATCAGTATGCTGATTTAACGTTATGTGATGCCAACGGCATGCGAGGGTCCACTGTATATGCTGTTTAGAAGGGCATCTAAACTGTCATTTATGCTTACCTCAGGCAAGACAGTTCATGTTCATGTGGGTTTGCCAGGATGGGTCCTGTCATGGGTCTTCTCCACGTAGTGGCAGTGGCTTCCAAAGGAGTGTTGGAGAGTGTACATGTGATGCACTGTTTAGAGCCCAATGGCAGTCGAACGGTGAGCGTTCGTGTCAAGTGTAGTACCGTTTATAGCCCTGTGGCAGCGGCAGCCTAGTGACAAGGGTCCGGTAAGTCTTTCAACTACATTTGAGCTATTCCCGGCACCCAGGCTGCAGCCCAAGTGCCAGAACAACTTTGGAGATTCTCTGGAGGTGTTGAACACTTCACAACAGTGATAGTGTAAATGATGGTGAAAGTTGTTTTTTTTGGGGGGGGGGAGGGGGTCACCCTATCTCGGTGGGAGATGGCCAGCCTGTAGGAAGGGAGTATTGAAGAAGTGTGCGCATTCAGATACAGTGGACCCCCCCGGTATTCGATGGCATCGGTATATGTTAAATCCAGTGTTTGATACATTTTAACGCAAAAATTTTGCCTCGCCACTCGTTAAAAAACCCGCCACACGCGATTTGTCCAGGACGTGTGCATGTGTGGCCTGAACTGCCCCGTGCGTGCCAGTGTTTACAAGCCACCCAGTGTGCTCGCATCTAAGCATACATTCGGTACATTCCATATTATCACAGTGTTTTTGGTGCTTGTTTCTGCAAAATAAGTCACCATGGGCCCCAAGAAAGCTTCTAGTGCCAACCCTGCGGTAAAAAGGGTGAGAATTAGTATGGAAATTAAGAAAGATTTTGAAGGGTTTGGGGCTAACCCTGAGAAGCCTATGCCAGTTGTGGAATTCGTTGTGCCTACTTCAAAAATTAAGGAAATATGTGCAAAGTGGGTTGAACTGTAAACCTTTATGGATGAAAATCACCCTAACACAGCTATTGCAAGCCGTGCTGGTGACTATTACAATGACAATGTTATGGCCCATTTTAGACATTTTAAAGGAATGGGAGGTACAGAGCTCTATGGACAGATTTGTTGTGTGACAGAGGTCCAGTGACTCTCAAGCTGGTCCTAGTGGCATTAAAAGAAGAAGGGAAGTAACCCCGTAAAAGGACTTGCTACCTCAAGTCCTAATGGAAGTGGATTCCCCTTCTAAGCATTAACAACTTCGACACTCTCCCCTCCTCCCATCCCATCAATCATCGCCAGATCTTCATTAAAGGTAAGTGTCATGTATTCTATTGTTAGTAGAGTACTACAAACTGTGCATGTCTTCTTCAGTTTGTGTGTAATTAAACTTAATATTTTTTGTGGTAAAAATTTTTTTTTCATACTTTTGGGTGTCTTGCACAGATTAATTTGATTTCCATTATTTCTTATGGGGAAAATTCATTCGCCTTCCGATAATTTTGGCATACGATGAGCTCTCAGGAACGGATTAATATTGAATACCAGGGGTCCACTGTACTTGGGAATCAATGTATCAGCAAATGGGTATGTGAAAGACAAGGTAAACCATAAAATTGATGAATGGAATAAGGTAGGTTGTGCATCGAGGTATTTGTGGAGGTAAAGAACATTATCCATGGAGGCAAAGAGGGGGAATGTATAGTGGTACCAGTACACTTGTATGGGTGTGAAGCACGACTTGTGAACGTTGCAGCAAGGAGGAAGAGGAGGCTGGAGGCAGTGGAGATGTCATGTCTGAGGGCAATGTGTGGTGTAAATATGCAGAGAATTTGTAGTGTGGCAATTAGGAGGAGATTAGGAGTTACTAAGAGTATTATCCAGAGGGCTGAAGAGGCGTTGTTGTTTGGTCATACAGAGAGGATAGAGCAAAATAGGATGACTTGGAGGGTGTGTATACCTGTAGTCGAGGGAAAGGGTGGTAGGGGTCATCCTAGGAAAGGATGGAGGGAGGGGTTATAGGAAGTTTTGTTTGCAAGGGACTTCAACATACAGCAGACATGTGTAAGTGTGTCAGGAGTGAGTGGAAACAAACAGTTTTTGTGACTTGATGAGCTGTTGGAGTATGAGCAGGGTAATATTTTGTGAAGGGATTCATGGAGATCTGTTAGCCAGACACATCCTGGAGATGGGAAGTACAGTGCTTGCACTTTGAAGGATGGGTTTCGGATGTATGCTGTTTAGATGCACATCTAAACTGTTGTATCTGCACACCTCTGGCAAGACAGTTATGGTGTGAGTGATGATGAAAGTTTCCTTTTCGGGTCGCCTTGCCTCGATGGGAGACAGCCAGCATGTTAAAAATGCAAATATCCCCACTTCTCCTCCAGAGTGCAGGCACTGTACTTCCCATCTCCAGGACTTGAGTCCAGCTAACCAGTTTCCCTGAATCCCTTCATAAACATTACTTTGCCAATACTCCAACAGCTTGTCAAGTTATAAAAACCACTTGCTTCCGCTCACTCGTATCTAACACTTCTATTTTATTTATTTATTTAGATTTAGATTATCTTCAAAATTGATCAAGTTTTATTTGGGTCTGCTCCTACAGAACTGATAGAAATATTTATAGAGTTCATCTGGACATTTGCAAAACATTTTTATTGCTAGATATATATTTTGTGAGACAGGGAGACCTCTAAATTTTATGAAGTCTCTATTAGTTTACTATATAAGTTACAAGGCATGGTTTTTAAATTTAAGATATCTTCTTTATAAGTTGCCTGAAGCATGTTTTTGAAATGTTCTTAAGATTCAGGTTTTTAATTTTCTTATTTCAGTCATACGACAAACAAGGTTTTCATACGGGAACACCTCCGCCATTTAATTTAGCTGGTTCTGGAACAAACCCCATGACCGCCAACGCCTACACACCCATGTTCATCCCTACGATGCCTGCAGCACAACATCACTCCCCGCTCATGCATCATCAGCTGCACCAGGTTGGCTTATCTAACTTTATCTATTCCAAGCCTTAGATTAACATCCTATAGTTTATTACTTTCACAAATCTGTCTTACACTACCATGTTCAGATCTACAAGTTTATTAATTATTGTTACTTTTAATTTAAGTTTTCTTGAAAGTCTTCGTTATGAAATTCTTTTTTCATGTAGGTAAAAACTACTAATAAATCTTAATCACTTCTCTGCCTTCTTGAAAACTGGAATATTTATATATTATTTGATTCATGCTTCACAGGATGGAGGTAGCTCTGGTGGTCAACGTGCTGGGAGTACAGGTGGGCAAAACAAAGGAGGATCTAAACCTTCCTATGGTGGAGGATCTTATTGGGGCACCAACTGAAGTTAACCCAGTAAGTTCTTACCTACAGCCTGAGGCTATCTTAATAGGGTAACCTTGCCTCAGTCCTACGCTACCATATGACAAGGATGATCCGATGGAATCCACTGTTCAGTTTGTTGGTGTTGTTCGGCCAGCATCCATTCCCACCTACGATGTAGGTGCCTCTTCATCCGGAGCATCAATTTGTCTATTAGATGTGAAAATGCGCTCACAGAAGTCCTTGACTTTAATAAAATTTGCTTGGATGTACAAGGGTCGAAACGTAGGTGTACTCTTTAGTCAGTGCAAAAAAATACTAATATAAAAGGATTTGCTTGTCTCAGTACATTTGTAAATGTTAACGAGATAAGCTGTTCTTCACCCCTATAGGTCATACTTTATGTGAACTCGTCCAAGGTGATGTAAAAGTGGATATGATATTTAGCATTTGTGGCAATGGTGTATTCAGTCTTGCTCTTCTCACTTGTAAATAACGGATGCCACTGAATAAACCATGGGCGCAGGTCCACTGGCATGGTGCATTTCTCCCGCAACCTTTCACTCCCACACCTTTTTATATTTACGAAAGTTTTACAAATTGTATGTTTGGGTGATAGGATTTGTCAAAGAAGACTATAGTGATTGTACACCACTAGAACAGATCTTCATGTAGGCTACAAATGTAAGACGGCATTCTATTCTGGAGTTGAGGTGTTAACACATTTCTTGAAACTCACTGAAGTTAAGGGCCTGCTGTGGAATTTGATACCACAACTCCTTTGAGTTGCCTTTCAGTGGTCACCCCAGAATAGGATGATTGTATGTTCAACTCACTTTATTTTTTCTTTCATTTTTTAACTTCTGTATCTCTCTAGGTACAATATAAACCCATTCCTGTTAAAGGAATGCTGTATCAATGATATGAAAAGTATGCCTCTTGTTTTGTAAGCTTTTTGTGTAGTGAAATATTTCAGTTCCACCAATAAAAATATCTTGAATCTAAACTTCATATCTTTATTCCCTTTTTTAATGTACAGTACGTATTATGGATAAGGCAATGAGTTGTAAAACTGTTATATCGAAGGTCAAAACTGCTAATTGCACTACACTAGACAATTTTTCATTTATAGATTTTTCTGTACCTTGGGTGAAGATTTAAAAACCGAGGTGTATGGATACAAATAACTGAATTAGGAGTTTGAGGCTAAGTAATAGTTCATCTTTGGTGATTGATATGTAGTACATTTGATCTCCCAAATTTTAGTACAAGTACTTCCTATTTTTAAGTTAAAATAATTTTATATGAATTGTATAACACCTTTGAATACAGGAAAAGTAACAAATTAAAATGTTTCATTGCATAAAAATGCAACATCCAAAATTTCTTAATATATATGCTGTAATTGTAAAATTTTAATCTGTTCAATTTTACTTACATTTGGCAGATGTGAAGATTTACATAGGATGCATACCTTGGTGGGCAGTTTCTCCAGGTGAGAGTGAAGTATTTCAGAATTTTTATGTTGGAAAACCAAATCACGGAGATATGTTGGTCCAAAATAAACTTTTAAAAAAAGCCTCAGCCCTACCACCTACAGCACAATCACCATCAATACCATTCACAATATTAATGACACCATACAACACACTACCACCTACACCACCACCATTAAATTTAGATTCACTGGAATGTATAAATAATATACAAACAAATGTGTTCACAGTGTAGTTGTGCCCAAAATGCAAATGAAGGGGAAAACCTGAAAGTATGAAGGTAGATTTTCAATTTTCTATTAAATTGTACTCTAGAAATAATATGGTAATCAAAGTCAGTGACCTCTGCAAAGTAAAGCTGATTTTTTAGGCATAGTTGTTGCCAAAATTATATTAGATTCTTTTATAGTATTTAATATAGACATAGCTTTGTGACATTAGAGATTTAAGGTTAGTGTACTGCAAGTGGCATCAATTGAGGACACACTCAAACCTCCAAGCTGGTTTAAACAATTGTTCAGTGGACTGTGGATAACTGTTCAACAATGATGAATTGCAGTTACTTTGCCCTGGAAACACTGAAGGAAAAACTGGAGCCAAGTACAAAATGAACCACAGAAGCAAAATAGAAATGTAAAGGACTTAGAATGTGAGGGAAAAGTTCAATAGATAGGAGTAGCGAGGGAATATATATTAACAATTTCATTGCCGGCTACTTGTTAAGGTAGGGTAAGTCAAGCTCCCGCTATTCCCGCCTTTTTCTGCCCCTCCCTGAAAGTGATAGTTTCATGGCCGGCTACTTGTTAAGGTAGGGTAAGTCAAACTCCCGCTATTCCCGCCTTTTTTCCCCCACCCCGAAAGTGATAGTTTGACTGCCGGCTGCTTGTTAAGGTAGGGTCAGTCTAGCTCCCGCTATCCCTTCCCCTCCTTCTTCCCCCCCCCCCCCCCCCCCCCCGAAAGGTGATGTGTGGGGCTCTGTTCCAAACAGTAATCACTAGACTCACAGCTCCCACTACTACTGTAAGTACATGCCTGCCTTGTATTCTAGTGGATTTATTGGTTGAAAGCTTCACTTTTGACCAATAATAAACTTAGTCCTTTCAGTCTTGCTCTAAGTTGACTGTTGTAATAATCACCACATCTTTTAGGTATTGTACTTATCATGGAGAGTGATTTCTTAAGCAGTGAGTAACCTGTCTATCTTTTCAGCTTGGATGACAGAGAGGGTCACCTGTCAATCAACGAGAAAAACTGATGGAGACGGATTAACGTCCTGGAGACTTCCCATTTTGGATTTAATTACCTGTGCACCTGTATGAAATTGCAGGACGTAACCCCTCATCATTGCAGCGGTAAAGGACCTGCTTTCCTGTCATCGGGATAGAATACTCACGGCGATACTTTGTGAAGAACTAGCCGGTGGTGGTCACCAACACCTGCGACCCCCCCCCCCCCTTCCCCATCATCAGCAATGGCTACGATTTCAACAACACAGTGTCACCAACACCAGACACCCCTATATATATTAGCGTTGAATTCAGTTATCATTTATATTTTTCATTTTTCATTCTTTAATGTAGGATTAATGTTTCATATTTAAGTGTTTTATATTTTCTATATAATAAAGTGTTTATGTTTGTCTGTTATTATTTCTTTTTCTATTCATTAATTTTCCTGAGGAGGAGCCAGCCTTGGTAATACTGTCTGAAGTTGTTACAGGGCTGAGTAAGCCTTCACAGAGAACCATGTTGGAAAGTATTATGTTGAAGTGCTAATGTGTACCGAGATTTCACACTACAGCCTCTCCTCACTTAGTGACATACTCGTTTACCAACGACTCGGACTAACAAGGTCTCTGACCAGTATGCATATATAAATAATGTATACAGTGGACCCCCGGTTAACGATATTTTTTCACTCCAGAAGTATGTTCAGGTGCCAGTACTGACCGAATTTGTTCCCATAAGAAATATTGTGAAGTAGATTAGTCCATTTCAGACCCCCAAACATACACATACAAATGCACTTACATAAATACACTTACATAATTGGTCGCATTCGGAGGTAATCGTTATGTGGGGGTCCACTGTACTAGAGCTCTTTTCCTCTGTTCTGTTTATTACCATATACAGCACACTACTGTATAAATAAACATTTAAAAATACAGTGAAACCCCGGTTTTCGTCTGGTCCACTTATCGTACAATTCAATTTTCGACCACTTCGGCGAAATTTTCCGTTTTCGTACATCCTCTCGGAAATCTTCCGTACATGACACATCCGCCTGCCCGCATGATACAGCCACTCATATGTTCATGACTGTCTGCCTTTGTTATTCGTTCAGTGAGCATTATTCCACGCATTCATCCGAAACATCTCGTAATAATCCATTGTTTTTTGTTCTTGCGATTGCTAAATAAGCTATCATGGGGCCAAAAAGTTCTGAGTGCCAAATCTTTGGTAAAGAAGGTGAGAAATACGATAGAATTCAAGAAAGAACTCTATTGTGTCTTTGGGGAAGTCCATGGGGTTGGAGGTGAGTGGCCAGGATGTGGAAGAGTTGGTGGACGACCACAGGGAAGAGCTAACCACTGAAGAGCTGCAAGACCTTTATCTGGAACTGCAACAGACCTTAGCTGAGGAAATTGCTTCAGAGGAGGAGGAAGAGAGAGGGGAGAATGTGCCTTTTTCAATGATTAAGGACATTTGTGCAAAGTGGAGTGAGGTGCAGAGTTTTGTGGAGAATTATCACCCTAAGAAAGCTGTTGCAAGCCGTGTCAGCAACATGTTCAACAACAATGCCGTGTCCCATTTTGGGCAAATCTTAGAAGAGATGCCAGAAACAGTCCTCTCTGGACAGATTTTTTTCTGCGACAAGGGTCCAGTGACCCTCAAGCTGGTCCTAGTGCCAATAAAAGACAAGGGAAGTAACCACTGATAGGGCTTTGATACCTGAAGTCCTTATGGAGGGGGATTCCCCTTCCAAACAATAACCTCTCCTCCCTCTCTCCTCCTCACCGTCTTCCATATGCCAACAAGAATCTTCAATAAAGGTAAGTGATGTTAAATGTTCATTTATAGTTATTCTCTATAAAATGTATTTTTTGTGTTTTATTTTTGGGTGTTTGGAATGGATTAATTGGATTTACATTATTTCTTATGGGAAATATTACTTCAGTTTTTGTACAAATCCGTTTTTGGCCGACTTCTGGAATGAATTAAAGATGAAAACCAGGGTTCCACTGTATACCAGAAATGTTATAAATGGTGCAAAGGTGACATTAAAATAATATCAAAGATGGTTGACACAAACCCACTACCATTATACTAGTATGCTCCTCACATAGTGACAAATTCGTTTACCGACGTGGTCTTAGGAACGGAACTCCATCGTTAAGTGAGGAGAGGCTGTATTATGGACTTAACTTTTGTAAACTAGGCAGCATGTTCAACCCTAGGTTATCCCATAGGGGACATATAATTAGTCTTATAATCCTGTAGAAATGGGAAATACAATGTCTGCACTTTAAAGGAGGGGCTTGGGATATTGGCAGTTAGGAGGGACATCTAAGCTGTCATATCTGAGTGCCTCTGCAAAGACAGTGATTATGTATGAGTGATGGTGAAAATGTTTAACGATGAAAGTTTTTTTTTTCTTTCTTTTTGGGTCACCCTGCCTTGGTGGGAAATGGCCAACATATTAAAAAAAAAAAATCCTGTAGAGGTCATACAGTGTATGGGTAATGAAAAGCAATTAGGTTCTCCTTTCATATATGTACTGTATGTTATATTCATTAGAATTAATTACTTGTACTCAATGTTTACACATCTCTGCTGTACAACCCTGGTAGGTTTAGAACTTCCTTTCGATTATAATAATTATACATCTTTATGTACATATACGTACAATTTTTATCATGTTTGTCTTAAAGTTAGGTTTGAGCTTGCCTGAAATGCTGTGCACAACCATGGAGCTTTCCAGTGTTTATTAAATTCATTGAATTATGTAAAAACTGCATCTTGTCAAGTTACTTGTCTTAAGAGAAACTTGTTTTTCCATGCCTCGTTTTATACCTCTTCAAAACAGTATGTTTAAATTTTTTCCCCTTTCCAGATTTTATTATTATTATAAAAAAGAAGTGCTAAACCTACAAGGGTCATACAACGCAGTCCAGATACTATGCAGAGGTTGGTGGATGAATTTGGTAGGGTATGTAAAAAGAAAATTAAAAGTGAATACAGGAAAGAGTAAGGTTATGAGGATAAAAAGATTAGGTGATGAAAGATTGGATATCAGATTGGAGGGAGAGAGTATGGAGGAGGTGAATGTATTCAGATATTTGGGAGTGGACGTGTCAGGTCATACAGCAATATGTGAAGACCAGGAAGAGCTAGGAGTATACAAGAGGCAGAGTTAGTCAAGGTAGTGGGGAGCATTACAAGGAATATGTAATTAAAGTTGGTGTAATAAAGTAAATAGTTGGTCACAAAGATGGGACTGTCGGAAAGGT